CAACATCGTCTCCATTGTTCCATTAGGCAGAAAACTGTCCATCAACATTGAATTGGAGCGAAGTTGAATTTACAGGAATGTGAGCACACATAAATTGTTGACGGACACAAAAGGTTAAAGGAATAAATGTTTACAGGTTTAGACTTTTTTTAAACAGGTAGATATGTCTAATTTTACTGTAAACTAAATAATTGCAGTTTTAAGCCAAATGTATGTCACTTATCTCAATAGGGGAGCATCCCTGTATAAATGAATGAAATAGTTTTTATTCAATCTTAGTCAATTAAGTTTAGAAATTAAACTTGTAAAATTGTATTTAATAAATGTTCAAATAAAGGATTGTAGTGAGAACCATCTCCCGTTATTATGATCCTCACAGAGACCTGTAACTTTTATAAAGTAATGTGAATTCCCAGTGAATAATTTAAAGGAATTAAGCAATAAGATTTCAAGCTTTTAAAACTTTTACTGAAACAAACAAACTGAAAGGAGCATTGGCCAAACACCAGTTCATAGATAACTTTATAATTTAAGCTAAACAAAAATTTCCTTGCTTATTCTTGGACATGACCAAAAATCTCCCTCTACAGTTATACTTTACTCTGCCCTTAAGGAGATACTTTATTCTCCCAGAACCAGTGCCAAGTGATTCTTAGCTCCTGGTGACTTGCTTCTTTTTCTGTCACTTTCCAGTTGAATAACTTCTATTCCCCAAGTTGGCTTTCATGGTGTAATTTCCCCCAGCATCCCTCTTCCAGCAGAAAGTAGACAAATTTTCCATCTTCGTTTTAAACTTCATAATCTTGGCCTCTTCAATCTGAGCGAGAGCTCTCACCCATAGATTATGCAGCAGATCGAGATTCACTCCCTCTGTCCCTCTTCTCTCTCTCTCTCTCATTCTCCTGCTCTCCCTCTTGTATTTTTTCAGATTCCTACAGACTGATCCTGTCTGTGAGATTCAGTGCTATTTCTAGGAAAAGCTATAACCTTATCCTATTAGCATTCTATGGACTCCTGCCCTCCCAGAGTACCTCTCTGTAGCAACATGAATCGGGGGGGGCGCCTTGTATCCAGGTAGAAATGATAATAAACTATCTATTGGCCTCTGATTCCACCATATCTTGAGAGTAAACTAGCAGTTTAAATTGTAAGCATTTGCTAAACCAAAAATTCCTGGGACTTGGAGGCAAACAATTTATACACCGTTAGTAGAAATGCCCTGCTTAATTTTTTACAAAAGTGAATATCCCGCACATTCTTCTCACTAAATCAACCTTGGCCAATTTTACCCTTTAACAACTGAGCCACCCAAGTCTGTTTTCAGACAGAATTCAGACCATACCACATGACCTCCATTAGTCACTCATTTTATAGCAAATTGAAAGGACAGTCCCCCGAAACACACCGATCTTGTAAGACCTCACATTTGTAGCATTTACTAATTTGGTCCCGGAAGCATAAGCTACTTTTTGTTTGGCTGATTTACCAGAATCTCCCCACGTCACCAGTTCCCTTGTGTAACTTTTGTTCTTCAAGTCCAGATTTTGGCCCTCGATATCTAAGTGATATGAGAATGGGCTGCGTCTGAAAGAAAATGCAACAAAGCAATAGCTCATGAATTTGATCCTAGTGGTCCCTGAAAGCATGGAACAATTTAGAGAAATTGTACTGCAGCACATTACAATTGTACACTCTACAGCGTAATAATAGATTTTCCATAATTTAAAAGGATGTGCCTGCAATTGGGATGCAGAAAATGATGATGATCTCTGCTTTTAAAACTCTGTGTTCAAAGCAGAGTACTCCAAATGATACCAATCTGTGAAACAATTCAACAGTTTGATGAAGTGATAATATAAATTCCTGTTGCTGGCATTTTCTTTACACTGAATGGAAAAGTTTTAAGACAACTGCAGAATCTCTTGGGTTTCTTGCTCAAGGATTTTGTAGTGCTGATGCAATGTTCTTATTGTAAATGGTAAAAGAAAAGTGGTTGTATCTTTTTTGATAGAAACATAGAAAATAGGAACAGGAACAGGCCATTTGGCCCCTTTGAGCCTGGAGCCTGTTCCGCTGTTCAATATGATCATGGCTGATCATCCAACTCAGCCCCTGTTCCCACTTTCTTCTCATGGCCTTTAGCCCTAAGAATTATGTCTAACTCCTTCTTGAAATAATATTTTGACCTCAACCACTTTCTGTGGCAGAGAATTCTACAGAGTAGAATTTTATATTAGTTGTGATAGCAGCAGGTGTGAAGTTCGAGGTCAGATATTATTGAGCGCGTTGAGCTACATGTCTTTGAATGTGAAAGAGGTGCATTTTATTGCCTTCCTTTCAAATAAGTTGTTAACTCTGGGTCTAATCTACTTGTTACATTTGCTGTCTTAAAGATCTAATTGTACTATTCTTCAAATGATACTGACTAACATTTCTCTCACAACTAACAATACGATAGATCAGAGCTAAGATGTGAGCTACTGCTGTGTTATGACTGTTGGAGAATGGTTGCTGTGTTTATCTGTATTGCAATTGTTGCTGTACACCTCTTGGAGACAGAGAGAGAGACATTTTGTCAAAAGTGATGAGGTGCTATGTAAATACAAGTAGGAAGATTTACCTTGAATAGAACTGCCTGTCATTTTCCAACCTATGTGCGTCATTTCAACTTCTCAGGAAACTTTTATAGAACAGAACATTAATTACTGTGAGATTGCTGGTGATGTGTGTTTTTTTGTAATGTGGCAGTATAATATCGTGGGAAATTTGTAGGTGTTGGTAATTGTGTGGTTGCTACTCATTTCAGAATCCTTAATGTATTTCATATTGTTCCAAATGGCTTGCCTTGACTGTAAATTCTCCATAATTGTCATAACACTGATTCTGATAGTCCCTAATTGGAATTTCAGCTTTCTACATTTAAACATTTATATATGTGCTTTATAGAACGATAAGCCTATTTTTGGTGAATCAGGGCACTTCTTCAAAGTTATGTGCTCTCAATAGTTTGCTTTTATTTTCATTTCACATTAGGAAGTGCCAGTGATTGTATTTTCAAATGCATTTGGGAGTAGGATATGTTTGACTTGTAAGATTCTGCGGAATCTCCAGGTCAAGAATTTACCAATTAATACACTATACAATATGTCTCCTTATATTGAAGATGCAAAATGAAATAGTAAATATCTTTGTCAAAATGAGTTAATAACTTCAAATTTATTTGTTGGGAATGCTGAATGTACAGTTGAAAGGACAGACAATGGTCAATGTGGGGAAATTCATGATTGAACACTGGCTTGAGTGTCTAATGTGGTCTTTGCTTATCTCAAGGGTTCTCCATGGTTGTATTACAAGTAGCTATTAGGAAAGATACAGATGGGAGTGTGTTATCAATCATTTGAGCTCATTTCGAACTCATTCGGAAAGGTGTATCAATAGGATTGATGTTCAAGTAGTTTAAAAAAAGAGGTGTCATGTATGTGGGCAATACAGTCCACAAACTTAGGACATCCTAAAGGTTTTCATTCAATTAAGTCCCTTTGGAGTGTAGTCACTGTTGTAATGTAGGAAATACAGTAGCCAAACTGCAGCCAGCAAACTCTCAGTAAACAGAATTATGATAATGATCAAATAATCAGTTTTAATTTTCAGTGAGATTCACTGAGAATTGGCACAATTCATGGCACAGTTGATCATACTTTTGTTTATAGAATATGATTGGCAGGAAGAAAATTATCCAACAGACTCAAGACATTCATAGTATGCCTAGCAATCATAATCATATTTTATTGGTTAGTGGAGCTAAGCAGTAAGACCCAGCAGATCTTTATTCAGAGGATGGAACACACCTCAGGGATGATAATCCACAACTGGTCAATGATTGCGTTGTTACCGCTATGTACACAGTATACAAGTAAGGTCATGTAATGTTACTCGATTAAGGAAAACAATACCTCTCTGGGACATGAGCTCAAATCCCAACATGGCAGCTTGAACATAGTTAATGACATCAATCTGGAATGGTAACATTAGTATTGGTGACCATGATTTATTCTCCTTGGGCATCACATTTATTGTCTATCCCTAATTGCCCTTGTGAAGGGCTGCCTTATTAAACTACTGCAGTCCCCGTGCTATAAACATTGCAACATAGAAAATAGGAACAAAAGTAGGTCTTTTGACCCTTCGAGCCTGCTCCATCATTCAGTAGGATCATGGCTGATCATTCAACCCCGTTCCCACTTTCATCCCATACCCTTTGATCCTCTTAGCTCTAAGAACTATATCTAAGAACTATGAACTAGGAATATCCACTGTGTTTTTAGGAAGAGAGTTTCATGAAATGCCTCTTATTCAGAAGTGGCTCAGAATTCAGAGATGGTTCATCATACTGAAGCAAAAATGTTAATATATTTCTCTCTCTGCAGATGCTGCCAAACCTGCTTAGTATTTCGAACAATTTCTGTTTTATTAAAGCATCGCATCCAGTTTTCTCAAGGGCAGTTAAGGATGGACAATAAATGCAGGCTTTATATACCCACAACCTATCAATGAATAATAAACAAAAGGCTAGCTCATTGTTTTATTGGGATAATATGGGATTTGTACAAAATAAAGTGCTGCTTTGATTCCGAGCCAGTTGTAAACCAATGCATCTGAGGCAGATGCCTTATGGTTAACAGGCTCCTATGCTAACACACATCATAATCAGGTCAGTCGCTGTAGCTGGGAAGTCTAAATGTGGATTTTGGATCTGAACAGGAATGGGCATTTTTTGTGCGCATCATGAAGCAATGCCTCCTGAACTCCCTGCCTAATTCTACACACACTGAATGGTCAGGTGGGGAACGTAGGGCAGCATTTCAGGTTGTTGTACAACTTTTTACAGGAAAGGTGAAGCAAAAAAAGCAGAAAATGTTAAAATCAACTCGGACGTTCAGAGGGTAACAGTAGTGATTTGTTGAAATATTGACCTTTAATTGCTCCATTCAACGTTACAGGACGTGTGGAATCCAGCACTTGGAGAGAGCAGGAGGCAACCTCAGCCTTTTCAAATCCCTCTACTTTTGCATCGTCACCTTCTCTACCGTTGGATATGGTGATGTGACTCCTAGGATCTGGCTTTCGCAACTCCTTGTTGTCATAATGATTTGTGTTGCTTTAGTCGTATTGCCTCTCCAGGTATGTAACAAGACAGGCCAATGGGACATTCTTGCAAGCTTGCTGTTAGTCTATTTGCTGACATTATCAGTACGAAGGTCTCCTGGAAGGCAATAAATTGCTCCGTATTATGAACCATTTCTTAACAGAGAGGATGGAGTTTCCCTCTGCCTGCACTCCATAAATGCTGTTTGATAATTGCTCCTGAGGAGCTAAAGTACAGTAACCATAGCCCCACACACTCATTAGAGAGAGACAACTGGTGGTGGTTTAACCTAAGGGGAAACATGCCTCAGACCGGAGGAGAGGTTCAGAAGGACAGTCCTTCATGGTAACCACAGCCAGTGCAGGAATTGAACCCGCACTGATGGCATCATTCTGCATTGCCAACCACTAGTTCAGCCAATGGGTAATAAACATGTACTGGGGGTGTAATTCAACTTTGGCTGGGCAGGACTTAAACTGGTTTTCTATTGCTTTGCTCTTCTATCCCCCTTTCTATTGAACTGAATTCAATGGGGTACATAATGTAAGACCAAACCCCTGCCATTGTTTTGTGTCCCCTGCTAAAATGTAGTTTATCTCTTTTGAGGCTTCTAAGGCTTTTTCTTTCTACTCCTCTTCCCTTCACTTGAACAACAGCCATTTATTAATGAGATGGGTTAGCAATTCAGCCTGTCAGAAATTTAATAGGGGTGTTCTTTCAGATGACAAGCTGTTGCCAAGGCACTATACTGTATATCAATGTACACATGCACATCTCACTCACACACCTCTTCTTGACTAACATTGTGGGCTGTTACATCGGGAAATTCGATGGCTTGGAAAATTGGAAAGGGTACTGTTGAGGTCATACCTGAAGTACTATGTACGGTTTTGGCCTCCTTACTTGAGAAAGGATGTACTGGCACTGGAGGGGTTGTGGAGGAGGTTCACTAAGTTGATTCCAGAGTTGAGAGGGTTGACTTATGAGGAGAGATTGAGTAGACTGGGACTATACTCTTTGGAATTTAGAAGAATGAGGAGGGATCTTAAAGAAACATGTAAAATTATGAAGGGAATAGCTAGGATAGAACCATGGAGGTTGTTTCCACTGGCGGATAAAACTCAAACTAGGGGGCATAGCCTCAAACTTAGATTTAGGACTGAGTTGAGGAGGAACGTCTTCACCCAAAGGGTTGTGAATCTGTGGAATTCACTGTCCAGTGAAGCAGTTGAGGCTACCTCTTTGTGTGTTTTTAAGGCAAAGATAGATTGACTTTTGAACAGTAAAAGGATTAAGGGTTATGGTGAGGGGGCATGTCCATGAAAAGATCAGCCATGATTTTATTGAATGGCAGAGCAGGCTTAAGGGCCTATTCCTCCTATTTTTTATATTGATAGTACTGCAGATGCAAAGTGAATGCCTGAGCATTGGGTGTGGTGAGGAACATTGTCGCATTGTCATTATATGTTGGACGTTTTGTACCCACAGGTTAGTAAAGGCAGAGTAGACCTATCCAAAGTCTGTGCCTGAAGTGGGTGATAGACCCTTTGATTAGGCAATGTGGGAGGCAGGATATGTAGCAGAGCTCATCCTGGCTCCATTTCATTGCTGAAAGCTCTCCCCTTCCTTCTGCTGCCCCCCCTTCCCAATGTCCATCTCCTGATCACCTCCACCCTCACTGGAACGTCAGGGTAGCAGACAGTCAACCAATATTGTAACTTTCCTCCCTGGCAAACTGCTTGGGCATGTCCAGCAGGTGTCCGCAGTGCTCTGGTTTCATGGAATTGAAGCTGAAGGTCCAGCACTGACTGAGCCTTGAGACTACCTGCTCCTGCATGGGATTTCCATAGAACCCCTACAGTGTGGAAACAGGCTCTTCGGCCCAACAAGTCCACACCAATGCTCAGAGCATCCAACCCAGACCCATTCCCCAAATCCACCCAATCGACACATCCCTGAACACTACGGGCAATTTAGCATGGCCAATCCACCTACCGCGCACATCTTTGGACTGCGAGAGGAAACTGGAGCATCCGGAGGAAACCCACACAGGCACAGGGAGAACATGCAAACTCCACACAGACAGTTGCCCAAGGGGGATATGAACCTGGGCCCCTGGTGCTGTGAGGCAGCAGTGCTAACCACTGAGCCACTGTGCCGCGTTAGTACAGTATCGGTCAATTTCTGGGCTCTAATGTAGTGCATTACCATTGACCCTCTTCCATCTGCAGTGGACATCTTGGAACCTCAGAAAGACATCCCCAGCAAAGCTCCTGGAAATTCCTGCAAATTCAATGGCAGGATAGATGCTGCAAAATCGGTGCCCTCTCTCAGATCAACATTCCCAGCATCGAGGCTCTGGTTACCATTGATTAACTGCGTTAGTTCATTCACATTGTCTGTGTGCCTGACACAAGGCTTCCAAAACAAGCTCTGTTCTCCAAACTCTGCCGCAGCAAGTGGTTACCAAGAGGCAAAGGAAGCACTTCAAGGATGTCATACTCATAAACGGTCTCTGACCTATTAATTAAAACTCACAGTTTACAGCAACTGGTGATGAGAAATAAACCGGCTATTTCCAGGCTTGAGATGCTTTTTGCAGCAGAGAGAAACAGCTGCTTTCCTTTCACAGGTCCGATGACTTCTCCCTCAAACATTCACATCTCCAAGCTGTACAGGTTCCTGGGAGCCAGTCAACATTTCACAGACTAATCATAAGAACATAAGGACTCAGAGCAGGAGTAGGCATTTCAGCACCCCCAAGCTTGCTAATCTCAATTCAGCCCTATCTCCACTTTCCTGCCCACTCTCCATAGCCCTTCAACCCATCACTAAGCCTGTTTATCTCCTCCTCAAATTTACTCAATGTCCCACCTTCCACAAGACTCTGGGATAGTGAATTCCACAGATTCACAACCTTCTGTTTTAAATCTGACACGCTTTATCCTAAAACTATGACCTCTTGTTCTAAAGTGCTCCACATGAAGAAACATCCTTTCTACATCTACTTTATCAGCCACTCAGTGCCAGTGAAATCTCCATTTGCACACAGCCCCGGCTGTAGCTTGTCAGTAACTAGGCTTTTCCCATTGCTTGAACCAACAACATTTTATTTTTATTCATTACTGGGATGAGGGCATCGCTGTCTAGGCCAGCATTTATTGCCCATCCCTAATTGCCCAGAGGGCAGTTCAGAGTCAACCACATTGCTGCAGGTCTGGAGTCAAATGTAGTCCAGACCAGGTAAGGATGGCAGTTTCCTTCCTTAAGGGACATTAGTGAACCAGATGGGTTTTTCCAACAATTGGCAATGGATTCACAGTCATCATTAGATTCTTAATTCCAGATATTTATTGAATTCAAATTCCACCATCTGCTGCGGTGAGATTCGAACCCACGTCCCCAGAATGTTACCTGGGTCTCTGGATTAACAGTCCAGCAATAATACCACTAGACCATCACCTCCCCACTCATTTACAATGACTGTCAGGTTACCAGCTTGTAAAAAGTGCAGGAATCCTTCAATGGACCTTGTTTAAGGTAACCCTAACCCTAACCCAATGATCCTTGGCTTTAAAAGAGTTCTCTTCTTATTTCAGTCCACAATTAAAAATATATTTTAAAAAAACATGTGATCTTCAATAGTACCACCTGCCCCACTTGTGGCAGAGTGTGTGAATCAAGCATTGGACTGTTTCACTACTTCAGTAACAACCACTCTGGAGTGGAAGAACATTATCATTCACCCTGAAGGAGACCCTAAGAAGAAGAAGCAGACATATTTGTAGTTAACTTAATGTGCCATGAAAAAAAAACATGTATTGGTACTGTAGAGTGAGCCAGGAGAAAATCACATGTGCAAGTCTACGAACATAGGAATCCAGCTGGATAATTTTTATATATTTTATTATATTGTGCCAAGTCTCATAATGTATATGAAGAAATTTCATTGAAGGTACTTAGCAGTCTTTAACTAACAACATAATAAAACCATCAAGGCACAAGTTATCAAAATGATTTTTTTTACCATTCTCAACAATTCTATCTAATTGTATTCATTAGATTAGTTTCAATCAAACATGTCCTAATCCTGAAAGCACTTCACTCCTGTGTTCTGGTAACGAATACGGAAAACTTTCAAAACCCAACTGAGGCGATGAAAAGGCTGATCCAAAATCATGAGTGAGGAATCAGCGAACAAATGATAAGCCAAATGATAAGATAAAACACAGAAATTGCAGTTAATCAGCACCAGTACAGGATTATCTCAGATGGACTCTTCATTTTTTGAAAAGTATGTAAATTAGACATTTGAGCATCTGGCAAGTAATGATGCAAGAAGAAATATTAATTTTTATCTCCCCTGGGTTTGATTGGGGCTCACTTTTGCATAATTATTTTGTTGCTTGAGCTAATACTTTTCTCACGGTTGAATACACATGAGCGATTTGCTCAGCTATTTCAGAGGACAGTTAAGAGTCAACCATGTTACTGTGGGTCTGGAGTCACACATGGGCCAGACCAGGGAAGGACAATAGATTTCCTCCAAATAAGACCATATGACCATAAGACACAGGAGCAGAAATTAGGTCATTCAGCCCATCGAGTCTGCTCCTCCATTCAATCGTGGCTGATAAGTTTCTCAACCCCATTCTCCCGCTTTCTCTCCATAACCCTTGATCCCCTTGACAATCAAAAACCTGTCTATCTCAGTCTTAAATGTACTCAATGACCTGGCCTCCACAGCCTTCTGTGGCATTGAATTCCATAGATTCACCTCTCTTATGGCTGAAGAAGTTTTTCCGTTTTAAAAAGTCTTCCCTTTGCTCTAAGGCTGTGCCCTTGGGACCTAGTCTCTCCTACCAATGGAAACATCTTCCCAACATCCACTCTGTCCAGGCCATTCAGTATTCTGTAAGTTTCAAGTAGATCCACCCTCATCCTTCTAAACTCCATTGACTACAGACCCAGAGTGCTCAAACGTTCCTCATATGTTAAGCTTTTCATTCCTGGGACCATTCTCGTGAACCTCCTCTGAACCTGCTCCAGGGCCAGTACATCTTTCCTGAGATATGGGGCCCAAAACTGTGCACAATACTCCAAATGTGGCCTGACCAGACCCTTGTAGAGCCTCAGAAGTACATGGGTATTTGCAACAATCAACATTTCCACAGCCTCAATTACTGATTCAGGTTTTTTTGCTTTAGATTCCAGTCAATTTTTAATTCATTCATTTTGAATTCCCCAGAAGCCAGAACAGGATATGAACACATGCTTCTGGACCATTAGTCTAGGTTTCCAGGTTTTCAGTCCAGTAACGTCATCAGTATGTTCCTATGCCCCGCACCACATCTTCTCAATGGCAATTAGAGATGGGCAATAAATTATTAACAATGTACATATCCACTGAATGGATTAAGAAAATAATTCCTTTAACTCCCACTGTAAAATTTAAAACTTCTTGTTACAAAACACTGGAGCAATTATTAATTTCAACAATTTGAAACAGTCCTCCCCATCCCTCACATTTTATAATAACTGTAAGGCCCTTTAAAATTCTAATTCAAACAGATGCAAAGATGATATTAATTAAAGGGGAATAGAAAGTAGGAGCAGGAGTGGGCCATTCAGCCCTTCAAGTCTACTCCACAATTCAATACAATCATGGCTGATCATCCAACTCAGTACCTTGCTCTCCATTTCTCCCCATACCCTTTCATCCCTTTAGCCCTGTGAACTATATCCAACTCCTTCTTGGAAACATTCAATACTTTGACCTCAACCACTTTCTGCGGTAGACAATTCCACAGGTTCACCAGTCTCTGGGTGATGAGATTTCTCCTTATCTCAATTCTAAATGGCCCTGTATCCTTCGAGGATGACCTTTTATCTGATAGTGACTGAACGCCAGAACACACACTTGTCAACTTGGAACTGTGCCAGTTTGTCCTTCAGTTGATACTGATGAAAGTTACCTTGATCTTCTACCCGTTAGTTTGAAGAACTGGTTTACCTGTGGATGGAGAGACAGAAATCTGGTGGTAATTACAGCCGACACCGAGCGCAGACTGAGAAACACGTTGTATTGTGTGTCAGCTCCTTAAAGATCGACTTGTTGATGGATTTCCTCAATGAATTCTATGCTCACCCCAGGCTTCAGGTAAAAAATGACCAATGACTGTCTTCAGATTTTGCATTACTCTTAGTTTTGCCCAGGACCACAAGACTCACCACTTATATTGAGTTGGTATACAATTTGAGCTTTCAATCATCCCTACTTATACCCATTGACAATTAGTTTATACAGTTGAGGAATGGGACATAATCAGACAACTGTCTAATGTGTCAGAATTGAATTTCTGTCACTGTTATTTAACAGGAAATTATTCTGTACAAGATCAAATGGTTTAATACCACATTAAAATAACATAGAATGTAGATACAAAGACATTAAACATTTGAATGATAAAATCAAGACTTTTTTTTTAACAGAATTTGTCAAAATGCCTTTATATTGCACAACAGAATAACACAATTTAGTTAATCTGGAATATTATTTCCTTTGGTTGGAGGTGCCTTCTTTTTGATAAAGGAGTAAACTGAGATCCCCCTGCAGCTGGATGGAAAAGATCCCATGGCACTATTTCGAAGAAAAGCAGGTGATGGTTAAAACAACTCATTTTGTCAAAGCTTTTCATCTTATGTTCATCAGGGCATTTCAGAAGAATACCAGTGGAAAGGAAACAACATTTTATACTTGACAAGAGAGCGCTGTTAGTTGGCAAGTGGACTTTGACTTTTAGATTGTTGAGATGGAGAATGCACAAGATAACAATAATTGACAGTTGACTGCCAAGCTTTGTTTAAATTTTAAACCAGACAGGTCAAGGTATTGCCCTGATAAATGGACCAGACAATAGCTGTCACCTTTTTTGTTGAGTTAAAACAGGCACTGTGAGTGTATAAAACATGACTTCATTTTCCATCATGACTGCAGTTTCCATGACAATGCCTCTACCAATCAGAGTCCACTTGCCAACAAACAGTACTGTCTTCTCATAAAACATGTATACGTGTTCTTGTGAATTGTCCTGATGTACAACACTGAAAGCTTTGACAAAACTAATCTTTTTTTCCAGCAGTAGTCAGGTCCTCTTCTACCAAATAACTAAGACCAGGAGAGTTACTCTCACTGTTCTGGCCGAAATGACCCCTCAATCAATATTACAAAAGCAGATTTTGTGGTCATTATTACATTTCTGTTTCTGGGGCCATACTGTGCACCAATTATTTGCCACATTTCCTACATTGTAGCAGTGTCTTGGGTCATCCTATGGTTGTGAAAGGTGATGTATATATATGCAGATCTGTCTTTTTTCTTATTGTTCATGAATGATGTTGGGGATCCATCAATAGAAAATGAATGCTTACCCCTGGGTCGGTCTTACAGAGCTGACAATTGTGCCAACTCTGTGCTCTCTACCCAGGAGTATAGATTCTGCCTGTGAATCGAGGTTCACACCGTGATAGGTCATTAAATTGTATATGACCAACTTTATATCCATTAATATTTGGAAATTGGCTCTACAGATGGTGTTTTGATAAGCCAACTATAAGGAGATTGTAACATTTTAATGTTTCTTAACAGATGTCATTAGTCAAGAATCACAGAAGTGTTGAGACACAGAAACAGGCCATTGGGTCCATCAATTTTTGCCTTTTCAAATGAGTGTCGTTACCTTGTGCCAATTTCCTGCTTTTTCATTTTTATCCAAATAAAATCGCCCAATGCTCTCTTGAATTGCACCTACCTCCACCATATTTCCAGGCAGTGCATTTCAGAGCCTGAGTATTCACTGAGTGTGAAAGTTTTTTTCTCACATGAACCTTTCTACTTTTGTTCATCACTTTAAAAGTCCCCTCAGAGCTCATGTCAATGCTTCAATGGATAGCTGAGAGAAAAAAATGAGGGATTAGCCCTCTTGGAATTAATGCTATATCATTATACTGAATGATAATCTCCACTGTGGGGCCTTATTCCAAAACCCTAGTGCACACATGGAGAGACAAACAATGCTGCATGTTACTGCGGAGTGCTCCCTCTGCAGACTGCTTGGGGGATTAATCTATTTAAATAAGGAGGCTATTGCTTTGCTCTAAGATTCTGCATTTGCTAATTAAACAACAAATATATAATTATTATAATAACTGTTATCGTAGTACAGTCACTGTGGCTCCATAAATATAGTACACATCTTTACACCTATCCCCATCCTAGCCTCACACTGTTTCAGAGATAGTAGGAATTGCAGATGCTGGAGAATCCGAGATAACAAGGTGTAGAGCTGGATGAACACAGCAGGCCAAGCAGCATCGGAGGAGTAGGAAGGCTGACATTTCGGGAAAAGTCTAGGCCCAAAACGTCAGCCTTCCTGCTCCTCTGATGCTGCTTGGCCTGCTGTGTTCATCCAGCTCTACACCTTATTATCTTAGCCTCACGCTGGGTTGGTTTATCCATTCAGTAACCTGCATATAGTTTCCTTCCTGTATTAAGTTCTTCACTAAGAAAACTTGTTACAACTCTGTGCACTTTTGAAGAGCCCGATGAAGTGTATTTCTGGACGATTAACTTGTCCTGTTGCTAATTGAAAGAAGAAAGCCCTATAAGATTACCCAAAGCTGTGATTAAACCCTCAGCTGGTTATAAACTACTTGAATCAAACTGTAATATCTCAGCACACCTTGGGTTCATAACCTTGTAATCCCTCCCGGGTGTCCTTCCTCAGAGACACCGAGAATCCTGTTGGAGTTTCAAGGAGCAAGTATCACTGTCATGTCCCAAACTAAACAGTCACCCCATCAGTGCTCTATTCAGTAATAGTACGAGATTGACATTGAGGCTATTTCAGGTTTTCTCCTCATATAATTATAGAGAAGTCTTTTGAAGGATACATATTTGAGTACAGATTGATACAATGTGTGGGCAGAAAGGGAGGGAAAAATGTACGGTTGTTCTTCATAGAGCGAAACCTATCATCAGGGTCAGTCCAGAAACAAGCAACTGGCTGTTCTGATAATCGCAGTCATTGTAATTGTTTGAAAAGAATACTGAGAGCGAGAAGTTTAAACATATAGGGGGTGTAGATCGGAATTTTGCTATCATTGTAAGCAATCTTTGATTTCCACAAGAAGGTGAGAATAAGACAAAGCGATGTGGCCATCGCTGGCTGGGCCAGTATTCATTGCCCATCCCTAATTGCCCAGGGGGCACATTGCTGCGAGCCTGGAGTCACATTAGGCCAGACCAGGTAAGGATGGCAGTTTCCTTCCCTAAAGGACGTTAGTGAAGCAAGGTCTTCAACTCTGTCCAACTGGCTTATGTTAAGGACTTGTACAGATTAATTTCAGCTTCCTTGTGCCTTGTATCAAGGCTAACGTTCCTTTCTTGCCCCATTCAGTTGGTTAACATCTAGGCTTGGGCTGATAAGCAGCAATTCATGCCACACCAGTGTCAGGCAATAGCCTTTTCCAACAAGAGAAAATGCAGCTATTGCCCCTTAACATTCAATGGTATTACCATCACTGAACCCTCCACTACCATTGACCAGAAACTTAATTGGCCAGTCCTATAAACGCAGTGGCTACAAGAGCAGGCCAGAAGCTAGGAATGCTGCAGCGAGTAACTCACCTCCAGATTCCCCAAAGCCTGTCCACCATCTACAAGGCACAAGGCAGGAGTGTGATGGAATACTCCCCACTTGCCTGATAAATGCAGCTCCAACAGCACTCGAGAAGCTTGACACCATTCAGGATAAAGCGACCATTTTGATTGGCATCACATCTAATATCTCCAACATTCACTCCATTTTCTCTCCGTACCATTTGATCACTTTAGCCCTATGAACTAGATCTAACTCCTTCTTGAAAACATTCAATGTTTTGATCTCAACTGCTTTCTGTGGTAGAGAATTCCACAGGCTCACCACATTCCGGATGAAGGCATTTCTGCACATCTCAATCCTAAACAGCCTACTTTGTATCCTTAGATTGTGACCCCTGGTTTTGGACTCCCTGGTCATTGGGAAAATCCCCCCTGCATTTATCTTATGTCTAGTCCTGTTAGTCTTTTTGTCTGTCTTTCTGTGTGATTAACTACCCTTATTTTTGTTGTCACTGTTAACTTATTCACCCCTTAGGAAACTGCTGAAATACTTAATTCGATGCTTGACCAGATCATTGAGCAGGAGCTGAGAACAAGACTGGATTGTGTAGCCTGAAGTTTGTTTTTTAATACACCTCTGAATTTGATTGCATCAACAAACCAGAGACTGTAGTGAGCTTTTTTGTGGCTACAATGTCTGTCCTTAGTAAGGACAGACAGCTATCACGATTAGAAGTCTTTGCCGAGTGCATTGTTAATTTGTATTTATCCCCCTTTGACCTTATCATCTGAACAACCTGCTGTTTTATCTCCTCCGTGTTTCAGGATTACTATGTTGTCATCCTGTGCCCAACAGAGATGGATCTTCAGGTGCGCAGAGTGTTACAGATTCCGCTCTGGTCACAGCGAGTTATTTATCTCCAGGGGTCAGCTTTGAAAGACCAGGATCTCATGAGAGCTAAGTGAGCCATGTTTTCCATATCACTAAGTGCCTGGTACTTTTGTATTTGAAGTAGCGAGAAGTGAGAGAAAAATGAGACCACACAACTTTTAGGGATCAATAAACATAAAAACATAAAAATAGGAGGCCATTCAGCCCTTCAAGCCATTCATGGCTGATTATCCAACTCAAGAGCCTGTTCCTGCTTCTCCCCCATATCCTTTGATCCCTTGAGCTCCAAATGCTAAATCCAACTCCAATGTCTCGGCCTCAACCACTTTTTGTGCAAGTGAATTCCACAGGCTCACCGTTCTCTGGGTGAAGAAATGTGTTCTTATAGAATTGTAGAATCCTTACAGTGTGGAAGCAGCCACTTGTGCTCAGTGCTAAATGGTTTATCCCATATCCTTAAACTGTAATCCCTGGTTCTGGACTCCCCAGTCATCAGGAACATCCTTCCTGTAGCTAACTTGTCCATTCCTGTTAGAGCTTAGTGATTATGTACAGTTTGGACTGGTTGGACCGAAGGGTCTGTTTCCATGATGTATGGCTGTATGGCGTTCAGTACCCAGTACACTAACAAATTGGTCAGTCATGCAAAACAGATTCAATCCTTGGCCTTTGCCAAGTGGACTCATCTTGACCAATGTAATGCAGCAACCTCTTGAGTGAATGAGGAAAAGAAAAGTCAACCAGGACACCAATCCACCTCCCTGAATCCCTGTTTAGATCACTCTGGCTGCTTGGATTTATAAAGCACTCTAAGCTGAAACCAGCCATCCTAAAGTGTTTCACTGAAAGCTCAGCAAATGAAATTTAGCGAGCACAGCCAGACATCTCTCTCTCCTGCTGAAAGTGCGTATACTCCAGACCTTGGTCAGCCAGCTGTAATACAGTCTCATGCCTTGAACCTCAGCCAAGCTTTATATCAGACTTCCACCACATTAGCTGGGTGATCAAAAGTTTGATCAAAGAGACCATTTTGAAGGAATGTCTTCACAGAATCATAAAATCCCTACAGTGTGGAAGCAGGCCATTCAGCCCATTGTGTCCACACCAATCCTCCGAAGAGCATCCATCCCAGACCTACACCCCCATCTGTGTGTGTGTGTGTGTGTGTGTGTGTGTGTGTGTGGATGTGGGAGAGAGAGAGAGAGAGACACACATATAAATCTATGGGGTGAACTTGCATTTGCAGATACATTCTATTTTGTTCAAAAAGCACACAATTTCTAGACGGTCAATGTGGCATTTTATAAATACCTATTTCAGAAATTAAACCAGTCTGATTCCAAATTGATACACAATGAGATTTTAAGCAAGGCCTCACACCAAAAATGCATTGTCTGACCTGGGATGATACCTCTGGTATACTGAGGGAACTGATAAAATCTTTAGTTATCTCGGGACAGTGTCTTGAAAGAAATTCGGGAATTTGCATGTTAATCCTTCGTAACTGATTAACAATTTAACAGCCACCTTAGGTTTGTTCAACACCTCATCAGTTCTAAGGTTCTATGACTATTTGATCTTTTGCTTACAAATTCTGTGTCTGATGCTACCTCCCACACTGATGCCTGAAAAAGGAGTGAGACTTTGAAAGCTTGTGTCTTCAAATAAAGCTGTTGGGCTATAACCTGGTTTTGTGTGATTTCTGACCTAGTCCACCCCAGTCCAACACCGGCAATACTCAAAGATAACACTCCCACAACTAGGAACCTACTGTACTGCTTCAAGGACAAGTATATCTTTTCTTAGATGTGGAGGCGTAGATTGTGCTTAGTGCTTCGGGTGTGGTTACATTGAAGCCATGTAGCAAGAAGACTTGATTTTTGTCCTCCAATCCCCTTGCGTCAAAGGTCAACATGCCATTTGCCTTCCTAATTGTCTGCTGCACTTATATACTTATTTTCTATGATCCTTTACAAATACATTCAAGTCCCTCTGAGCAGCAACATTGAAAAGTTCCATGTGAGCGTACAAACAAGGTACAAGAAAAGGCCACTTGGCCCTTCGAGCCACGTTCTACCATTCTATAAGATCCTGGCTGATCTGATTTTAACCTCAACTCTACATTCTGAATGCCCCTGATAATCTTTCATCCCCTTGATCATCAAGAATCTATCAATCTCTGCCTTAAAAATATTTAAAGGTTCTGTGTCTGCTGTTTTTTTCAGGAAGTGAATTCCAAAGACTCATAACTGAGAGATTCCACACCTTACAAAACAGATTGTGCTTTCTTAGTCTCGCCACCAACATGAATAAGCTCATACTTTTCCACATCGTATTCCCTCAGCCACCCTGTTATTCACTCAATCAACCTGTCTATGCCTTAGAAGGAATTTAGGAGGATAAAAGCAATCAAACATATATCATTCAATGTGGAGCCCTTGTACTTGTTTGCTGCTCTGATCCTGAAATTAATTTGTGATCTTAGGTTGAGTTACTGAGATTTCGGGGCCTGTGTATTCTTCAGTCTACTGAACAGGCATTTTTTTTTCCCTGCAATCCTTTATGCCAAATCTAAGTCTTTACTTGCAGTTATTATTCAGTTCTCCCCGTGTCTGTGTGGGTTTTCTCCAGGTGCTCCAGTTTCCAACCACCATCCAAAGATGTGCAGGTTTAGGTGGATTGGTCATGCTAAATTGCCTGTAGTGCCCAGGGATGCATATGCTAGGTGGGTTAGCCATGGGAAATGCAGAGTTAAGGGGATAGGGTAGAGAGGTGGGGCTGGGTGAGATGCTGCTTGGACGGTCAGTGTGGGCTTGATGGGCCAAATGGCTTCCTTCCACACAGTAAGGAATCTATGATCTTGAAGATTTCTATCAGATCACCCTGTAACCTTCTAATTTCTGGAGAAAACAGGTTTAATATATAATCTTGCCATATAACTTAACCCCTAAAGTACAGGGTATTTGTAAACCTACATTGCACACTCTCCAAGGCCAATATATCCTTCCTGAGATGGTGGCCAGATCTGCTCACAGTACTCCAAGTAGGGTCTAACTAGGGTTTTGTATATCTGCAGCATGGCCTCTCTGATGTAAGATAGACTATACAATCCATATACCCTCAGGACCCATGCTATGATACAGCGATGATGACATGAGCACACCTCTTAAAGCTATACTGACTGTGGGACATAACAGAATTGTCTGGTCTTGGCAGCTGAGGACTTGAGCCATTTTGCAACCTGAAGCCAATAAAGTAGAGCCTGTAAATTCTTTATTGGTCTCATTAACTGTGCCTACTAATCTTGACAGTAATGTACTCTGACCTGGTGTTGGAAAGAGAATTGTGGTCATTAATAGTTTACCAGCTGTTAGCACATCAATGTCCAATGAATATAGTTGAAGAGGGTAAACGCTAGGGGGATTATTATACAAATCTGCTGTGGGCTTACAGAATAATGAGGAAGCTAACGTATGCATTTCTTTGCCTACAGGATGGATGATGCAGAAGCCTGTTTCATTCTGAGTAGCCGTAACGAAGTGGATCGTACAGCAGCGGTACAGTAAACATGAGCACAGCGCAGTTAGGAAACTCCAAAACAGGAGGGCACTGGGAGGTTTACAGCACAGATTCCCATTGGCAGCAAGAAGCCAGTTAATGCCAAGAGGCCATATTTTCATTACCCTACCTATCTCGAACCGGACCTTCCCATTTTTATTCCTTCATGTGATAACAGTTGCCACTAGCAAGGATGTAATTTACTGCCAGCCTCTGCTGGTGTGCCCTGGTCAGCGACTCAGCATTTTAAACTGCTGAAGTCCAAGCAGTGTGGGTAAACCTATACTGCCAAAGGGAGGGAGTCCCAGGACTGTGAAGGAATGACTGATAATAGAGCTCCAAGTCAGTATGGTGTGTGACTTGGACCCATACATTGGAGACAATGTGAGCATTGATGATGTACAATAAGCTAGTCTTTGGCCAGATGGCCAAGAACTTAGCATTACACCACTGGGCTCAAAAGTGTTTGACTAGGGTCCCGACCCGAAAAGTCAACTTTCCTGCTCCTCTGATGCTGCCTGGCCTGCTGTGTTCCTCCAGCTCCACAATGTGTTATCTCTGACTCTACCATCGGCAGTTCTTACTATCTCTGATTGACTAGGGTTGCTGTGGATGAGATGTTACCATGGTAACGTCAGCAAACTTTTAATCTAGAGCCCCAGACTAATGGCCTGGAGACATGAGTTCAAATCCTGCCATTCTATTAAATGTAATTAACAGAATGAAAGCTAATCTTGGTGATGGTGACCATGACAGCTATTATCACTTGTTAAAATGACCCAGCTAGTTCATCCATGTCCTTTCGGGAAGGAAATCTGTCATCCTTACCTGGTCTGTCCTACATGTGACTCCAGACCCACAGCAATGTGGTTAACTTCTAAATGTCGTCTGAAATGACCCAGCAAGACAGATACAGTTCAACAGCAACAAATACTGGCTTTGCCAATGATACCCACATCCCATAAGGAAATAAAACCAAAATGTCTCTGGATTTATTCCTGGAGGTTTCATCATGGATTTCCCACCTCCAATGCCCCACTCAGTCAAGCAGAGTTTTCTTTACTTAATATTTCTATGTTCTATGTTATATGTTTATAGTTAAAGTGAGAACTCCAATGAAAACAAAAATCAAGCACTTTTTTTTTGCCTCTATAGTCTTTCTCTTGAGCTAACAGTGATTGAATAATTAAAGTTGAATTCCTGGAGACTCCAAATCAATGCTGAAGGGTCTGAAACCCAAGGGTAGGGTTTTATCTGGGTGCCATATGCGCTGACCACTTCTAGTGACATGTGAAAACTCATTATTACTTTTATAAACTCAGATCTCATTGCTGTTTATTTGTTTCTCGACATGCAAATACCAAACTAATTATTTTCGTCGAAAGATCAGGCTTTCAACCAACTTGTTTCCATTTGAACTGGTGTCTTGTGTTATGCTAATAATAATTGTCTAATGATCAATCATTCATCAAGGATTGATGCAGTCCATGGGTTAGTTTATTTAAAACAGTAAATCACATTATAAATTACGAAGCAGACTTTGCAGCAACGAATTGATTTCTGTGTGTGCAGAGTAACTAGCAGGCAGAGTCACAACACTGCATACGCACAGCATATTGAGTCTTTAAAGGTGAACTCTCTAAAGGCAAGGCGCACATACAACATCACGGGGTCACACTAATCTCCATTTACCGCCAAAGTGAAAAATAAAACTCATCCATGGTAGCCATGACTTACCCTGAATAGAGCAGTAGATCTTCACGGCTGTTGGCCACATAAGTGTAAATTGAAGAAATTCAAACCACAGGAATAATTCAATTCACTAATAGCCTTATGGCATGAAATGATCTTGATGATAATTTAATCAGACGTTTGGAGCTCCATTTCCATTTTCAATTTATTTAAGGCTTTTCAGTTGGGATGGGTGGATAGGGAGTTGTCACAAGATTCAGTTGCATCTAAGAGCTTTGGAAGACTTGTATTCATAATAACATTTGCAAACAATGGGGTTTTAATTTCTTCTCAAATTTTTCTTAGCTGTATCACAGCTGTTATAAACTTAAGGTTTAGCTGGAGTAGCTAACTAAAGGAAATGATCCCAGCATTTAGATGCTCTTTTCTTTGTTAACTTTACCTTCAGAATGAACTGATAATCAACTTTACCTTCAGAATGTGCAGGGAGTTTACAGATAAAGTTAGCAAATTTAAAACAGAGATGAGGAGGAATTATTTCTCTCAAAGGATTGTGAATCTCTGGAATTCACTACCCCAGAGCGCAGTAGATGTTGGGACAAAGAACAGTACAGCACAGGAATAGACTCTTCGGTCTATCAAGAGCATGCCAACACATGGTGCCTTTCTAAACTAAAAACCTTGCATCCACACAGCCCCTCTATTCCCTGCCTATTCAAGTATCTGTCAAGATGCCTCTTAAACATTGCGATTGTATCATCTTCAACCACCTTCTCTGATAGCACATTCCAGACACTTACCATCCTCTGTATAAAAAAAACTTGCCTTTCACATCTCCTTTAAACTCACCCTGTTTTACCTTAAATCTGTGTCCTCCAGTAATTGACATTTCTACCCTGGGGAAGAAAGACTCTGACTATCTATTCTATCCATGCCTGTCATAGTTTTGTAAACCTCTGTCACGGCGCATCTCCAAAGTTCAAGCAAAAACAAACCGAGTTTGTCCAATCTCTCCTCATAACTAATACCCTTCAAACCAGGCAACATCCTGCTCAAGCATTTCTGTCCTCTCTCCAAAGTCTCCCACAGCCTTCCACTGAATAAATTTAAGGAGGAGATAGATAGACTTTTAATTAGTAATGGGTTGAAGGGTTTTGGAGAGCAGGCAGCAAAGTGGAGTTGAGGCAGAGATGAGATCAGTGATACTTGTATTGAATGGTGGAGCAGGACCGAAGGGCTGAATGGCCTACTCCTGTTCCTACTTATGATATTCTTAAGTTTACGCTGAACTTTAAACTGTCAGCGACATCTCTGGAGGGAGACTGAGTGACACTCACTAATTTGCTCTTGCAGAGAGCCAGCACAGAGATAACAGCCCAAATGGATTCCTCCTGTGCTGTAAACATTCTGTTCGGTGGCTCCTCTAAGTCAGAAAGGTGTGGGTTCAAACCCCACTTTAGATACACTCTGGGGCACTGATAAAGGAGTGCTGCACAACTGGGGAAGCCCACTTTCAAATGGCACCTTAAACCAACACATAGCTTTCCCTCTTGGGTAGACCTAAAATGATTCAACGGCCCTATTCTACAAAACTAGGCAGTTCTCTGAGGTCTCTGCAAGTATTTATCCCTCAGTTGACGTCAGTAAAATAGATTACTCCTGGTCATTTCCACATTGCTGTCTCTTAAAATTAATCCGTTATATTTGCTACCTTACTGCAGTGACTACACCATTCATTGTAAAATGCTATGGGACGTCCAGTGATCATGATAGACTGTACATAAACACAAGCCCTCTTTCATTTCAAAGCTTCAGCATTATCAGGTGCTGGACCAGAAGGTGTACAATAGCTTAGTTAGTATTACTTGTGTAGTGTGGACTTTTGTTGCAGTGTATTAGTTTTTCACTTTATTCAGGAATCCCCAGGACTGGCCAAGCCCCATGGAATAAGGCACTGAAAAGAATGGAGAACATAAAAAAGGAAGTGTTCTGCATCAGAAAATAGAGATTGGGCTCAGAATTGAAAGAACTCAGTGGTATAGGGGGAAGGGAAATAGTGGGAGAGAACATGTAAAAGCTTTCTAGTTATAGCAATGAGTTATTACAGGAACACAGCAGGCCAGGTAGCATCAGAGGAGCAGGAAAGCTGACATTTCAGGTCAGGACCCTTCTTCAGAAATTTCTGATCCGAAACGTCAGCTTTCCTGCTCCTCTGGTGCTGCCTGGCCTGCTGTGTTCCTCCAGCTCCACACTGTGTTACCTCTGCCTCCAGCATCGGCACTTCTTACTATCTCTGAGTAAGTTATTACAGAAATTAAGGTTGATAAAGTCGTTCAACTAATAAAAGAATAATTCAGAAAACATTATACAACAAGGATGGTTGCAATTTTATGACATCCAGAAAATGGAATCCCAAACTGTGGCTTGTCACTGGAGAGTTTATTTTCATTGTTTGGTGCCCGACTAACATAAGTTGTTTTACACACTGAAGGATCATCAGACCATCTTGAGAGCTTGGGCTGTGAAGGATTTTGCCCCAAATTGCCCCCTTTATGTTCAGATTCTGAAGCCTGAAAACAAGTTTCACGTCAAGTTTGCAGGTGAGATATTGTATCCTTCTCTATGCATTTCCCATATCTGGGTTTGCAATTGATTTCAAATTGACCCAAAGTGCTCATGGCAGCTTCACACTTGTCTCTGCTACACTTGATTTTGTTTGTGTTTTTTTTTGAGTATTGTGGTTTTCTCTCAAAGCCTAAGATCAGAAGCCTACTGTGGAAATCAATAACAGGTCAGACTGTATTTCAAGCATCTGATGCTGCAGTGCCAAGTTTGTTCCACTGAAGGCATTACAGACCGGCAAGTTGAATGGCAATCGTTGCATCAGACCATGGCTAGTAAAAAATGATTCAAGAAAAGTTGAGCCCCCTATTGCTTTTAAGCAGTACGTACTCGTCTCATATGCTTTCACACAGAGTTCCAGTTTGATCCTCGATCAACATTTCCAAGTTTTACTATATTTCGCTTCTTGTGTACTTTGTTGCAGTAGAAGCTTTCATAGAACCCCACAGTATGGAAAGAAGCCATTCAGCCCATTGAGTCTACACTGACCCACCAAAGAGCATCCCACACAAACCCAGCTCCCCTCCCTCTCTATTCCTGTGACCCTGCATTTACCATGGCCAGTCTGCCTAACCTGCACATCCTGGGGAAATTTCAAATGGCTAATCCACCTAACCTGCACATCTTTGGGTTGTGGGAGGAAACTGGAACACACAGTGGAGGCCAAAGCAGACACAGGGAGAACATGCTTTCCTGAAGTTGGTTAGCTCAATTGGCTGTCTGGATGGTTGGTACACAATGCAAAATAATGCTAACAGTGTGGGTTCAATTCTTCCATTAGCTGAGGTTATCGTGAAGGACTTGCCTCCTCAACCTCTCCCTTCACCTGAAGCATGCTGAAGCTCACCATCAGTCATCTCTCTCTAATGACAGCCGTGATGTGGAGGTGCCGGTGTTGGACTGGGGTGGACAAAGTCAGAAGTCACATGACACCAAGTTATTGTCCAACAGGTTTATTTGAAATCACAAGCTTTTGGAGCGCTGCCCCTTCATCAGGGACGTGACTTCACATGATGAAGGAGCAGTGCTCTGAAAGCTTGTGATTTCAAATAAACCTGTTGGACTATAACCTGGTGTCGTGTGACTTCTGACTCTAATGAGAGAGCTGTCTTGTGGTCTGCCAATTTGTAATAGTTTTTCAAAGGTAAAGTCTTGGTATGTCAGCCTTTCAACTCTTAATAGGAAGTTTGAATTCCTTTTTTAAAGACCATTTCAGAATTTATTAAGCAAATCTGACTTCCTCAGGTGAATTTCGAAAATTTCTTCTTGTCTGATTGTTATTTTCAAAACTTCTGTTTCTTTGTAGACCACGTGGTGTGTGAAGAGGAATTTAAGTATGCCATGTTAGCCTTGAATTGCATCTGTCCCTCCACCTCCACTCTCATCACCCTATTGGTTCATACTTCCAGGGGGCAGTAAGTCAAATTTTTACTGCTTCCATTCTCCTTAAGGATTTACTCTGTCTGAAGCATTGTGAAAAGAGTTTTAACCTGTTTCTGCAGTAATGTGTGTGTGGATTTGTGTTGAATTCCATACTGATGAATCAATGGTACAGATTATCATCTCCAATTGATAGTGCAACATTGGAGAGTTCAGGTGAAGTCCTGTTTTATTCAGACAAGTCCCCGTAAATCTATTTTGCCATTCTTTGTACTTTTGGATCATGTTATTTTATTCTTTAGGTGTTTTTTTGGATTTGCTTTTGAGCCAAGATTTTTTGTTTAAATTATGGATTTTCCCTATTGAGATGGTCTCAGTAGAGACCTATCTGGCTCCTTCCATCAGAGTGATGGCCTAGTGATGTTATCACTGGACTGTTAATCCAGAGACCCAGGTAATGATCTGAGGAGCTGCATTCGAATCCTGCCACGACAGATGGTGTAATTTGAATTCAGTAAGAAAAATCTGGAATTAATCATCTAATAATGACCATGAATCAGTTGTCGGAAAAACCCATCTGGTTCACTAATGTCCTTCAGGGAAGGAAACTGCCATCCTTACCTGGTCTGGTCTACATGTAACTTCAGGCCCACAGCAACGTGATGGCCTCTTAACTGCCCTCTGGGCAATAAATGCTGACCTAATCAGCGATGCTGTCATCCCTTGAATGAATAGAAAAAAGACCACAGGCACTTCTCAAAGTGCATTACAGTCAATGAAGTACTTTGGAAGTGTCACCACTTTTACAATTTAGGGAATGCCAATTTGTGCACAGCAAGCTTCCACGGACTGCACAGTGCTGATGTGGCTCAACTGGTAGCCCTCCCACCTCTAAGCCTCATGGCCCTGTGTTGAAGTCAGATCCAGGGCTTGAGCTCATAAGCCAAGACATTCCAGTGCAGTGCTGAGGGAGCACTGCCCCAATGGAGATGTTGACTTTAAGATCAAATGTTAAACCAAGGCCCCATCTACCTGTTCTCGTGGATGTAAAGAATTGAACACATGGAATTGCTTTGAAGACGGGTGGGAGGAGCTGTTCTGGCTAATTACTATTCTTCAATCAATATCAGAAAAGATAGATTATCTGGTCATTATTATGTTGTCAACCACACTCACTTTACAAACATATTGGTAGAATACAGATGTTAAACTGTGATGTATTGGGGAGACTGTGATCCAGATGTTCAGGTTAATGTTGTGGGAACCTGGGTTCAAATCCCACCATGGCAGATGGTGAAATTTGTATTCAACAAAATCTGGAATTGAAAGTTGATCAAATGGCAACTATGTGTCCACTGTCAATTATTGTGAAAAAATCTATTTGATTCACAAGAATCACAGAGTCATAGTATCAGTCATATGGAATGGAATCAGACCCTACAGTCCAACCCGTCCATGCCAACCAAGTTTCCTAATCTAAGCTAGTCCCATTTGGCCCATATCCCTCCATAGCTTTCCTATCCATGTACCCAAACAAATGTCTTTTAAATGTTGTAATTGTACTCACATCTACCACTTCCTCTGGCAGTTCGTTCCACATACAAACCACCCTGTGAAAAAGTTGCTCCTCAAGTCCCTTTTAAATCTTTCTCCTCTCACCTTAAAATTATACCCTTTAGTTTTGAACTCCCCAGCCCCAGAGAAAAGATCTTTGCTGTTCACCCTATCCATGCCCCTCATGATTTTATAAACCTCTATAAGGCCACCCCTCGACATCTTATGCTCCAGGGGAAAAAGTTTCCAGCTTATCCAGCCTCTCCTTAAAACTCAAACCCTCCAGTCATGGTAACATCCCTGTTCTAATGTTCTTCACAGAAGAAAATCTGCTATCCTTACCTGGACTGGCCCACGTGTGACTCCAGACCCACAGCATTGTGGTTGACTCCTTACTGCCCACTGAAATGCCCCTACCAACCCATCCAGAACAAGGAACAAGTAGGGATGGGCAACAAAGCTGGCCTTACCAACCACCCACTTCAAATAGAAGTTGTTTTTAAGAAGCTGAACAGGAAAGACTAGATCATATTCTGACCACTACGGGAGTGAGGGATTGCCATCGGCCATGACGCCAGACGAGAAATCCCTTGTCCTTTTCTGAAATAGTTCTAAAGTATTTCCCACATTCACCAGAGAGAGGAGAGGGGCTCTTGGTTTTTAACATCTCAGCGAAATGACAAGCATCTCCGACAGTGCAGCACTTCCCCAGTAGAGCACTGGGGTGTCGGCTTTTATTTTTGGACTCAAGTTCTGGAGTGGGATTTGAACCTAGAACCTTTGAGGTGAGAATGTGAACTGCTGAGTCACTGCTGGCAGCTACAAAGTAGTCTATGAGGAAAAGTGATGCATTTTTATTTGAGGTATGTCATGGTACTGCTATCTTCCTTTTCACAATAACGCATTTAGAACATTTTTTAAGAAAAGGTTAACTCATATAGCCTGGTTTGCAATGAGGCATGAAGCATATATTTCAACTTGCCACTTCAAAGGTTAAACTGTCATTGCATTATATAACTCAACAATTGTATTTTCTGTTGGGAATGACAGTCTACAATAATAACCAGTTTTACACAACTGCAGGAAATCATCATTTTTGTATGAAAAGCCTGCGAGAGATCAGTTTGCACTAATTGAATAGCCCATAAAAGTCGACATTATGAACTTGTTGTCACTGGGGCGGGGCTACAATATAGCTACGATCTCCCACCATCATTCCCTGATGCTCTCTGCCGGGAGCACACATCTGTTGAAAAGAAAAAATGTCCCTTAGAATTCAATCAGCTGCATCCTGTGATCAAGTCACAAACCAAGAGTTCAGCATATGGGGATATCTGCATGGTATGACATTCACAGCATAATAATCTTCTGGGAGATTGCAATTTTTTTACATCGCTGGCCATCCAGAAGGTTCTTTGGTATTTTAAAGTCCATTAATTGAAAAAGACAGATGCAGCAACATTTTAAAAGAACTGATCGCAGTAGAGATTTCTGTTAGTTGGAGGTGCACAACTGTGGTGTGTATAATTGATCCCTCGAAACGTAGCCTCGAGATGAATTAGCTTTTCAAACCCAGTTCAGTTCGTGACATTTATTCTATGCAACAATGAAGAAAGAAAATAAAAATCTGCTGAACATGGTTTAGCATCCCAAAATGTGGTTTATGATGTGCAGTGAAGCAGGATTGCTGAGAGCTCCTTATTACTGATCTTAAATATTTCTGCTACCAGAGAATAGAAATTTCTGAGCAGTAAAAACAGTAGTCCTTGGCTTTCACCTTGTCCCTATGGCCTGGCCACCTTGCTTTGCGAAGAATTTAAACTAACAGCAGGTTTGCATCTCCATGGTTACAGGGAAGGACAACAGTCCCCTGAACAATGGCAAAGGATGTACGGTCGATGCTCAGGGAATGAGGTTTATCACATCAAACTCGGTGACAGCAAGTTCTTCGGAGAATACGAAGGGAAAAGTTTCACCTATGCCTCCTTCCATGCTCACAAGAAGTAAGTTCTTTTAGATTAACAATTTGTCATGGGAACTGAGTGGAACCATATGTTTTTGACATTAAACTTTCACTGCCAGTGACCTGGAGTGCAGTTGATCCCTGGGAGTGATTATGTAATGACTTTATTGCTGGACTAGTAATCCAAAAAACATGAGTTCAAATCCCACAGTAATATTTTGAATTCAGTTTGTATTTTTAAAAAAGTAGGCCAGAAGTTTTTTTTTAAAGGCAGGTATCTGTAAGATTGACGTTGAAACTGTTTCGGATTTCTAACTTCTGCAGTACTGTACTTTTGTTAACCATGAGCTCATAGAATCACAGAAGTGTTAATGGTGCTGAAGGAGGCCATTCAGCCCATTGTATTTGTAATGACTTGTCAAATGAGTCATTTATTACCGATTATTACCGATTGCCAGTCTCCTGTTTTCTCTCTCATACCCTTACACGTTATTTCTTTCGGAAGAGTCAAGCAATAATGTCTTTAATGTCTCAGTTGAACCTGCCTCCACCATACTTCCAGGCAGTGTATTCCAAACCCAATATTCAATTGTCATATCTAAATCCCTTTAGGGTGGGAAATCTGCCATCTTTACCTGGTCTGACCTACATGTAACCCCAGTCCCAAACCAATGTGATTTACTCTTAGTGGCCTTCCGAAGTGACCCAAGAGCCAATCAGTTGTATCAGACTCCTACAGTGGTTCAAGAAAAACGACCATGACCTTCACAGTGCAGTTAAAGTGGCTCAGTAGTTAGCACTGCTGCCTCTCGGCACCAGGAACCTGGGTTCGATTCCACCCTCGGGCAACTGTCTGAATGGAATTTGCGCATTCTCTCTGTGTCTGCGTGGGTTTCCTCCGGGTGTTTCAGTTTCCACCCACAGTCCAAAGGTGTGCAGGCTATGTGGATTGGCCATGCTAAATTGCTCCTAATGTGCAGGCTAGATGGATTGGCCATGCAAAATGCAGGGTTACAGGGATGGGATGGGTCTAGGTGAGATGCTGTTTGGATGGTCAGTGTGGATTCAATGGGCCTAAAGGCCTGCTTCCACACTGTAGGGATTCTAAAGTTGGGAAATAAATGCTTGTCTTGTTAATGATGGCCACGTCCTGAAAGTAATTTTCTTTTTAAACCAAGATCAAAGTCTCCTGGTCCTCCAACCTCTGTAAATTTTACCTCTTAGCCTTCGGTCGTCTGACTTAATCTTTCCTCATTTGCTATGTGTTGTACATAATTTACTAAAGACCCCATGAAGCACCTTGAGGTATGTATGACATTAAAAGCACTTTAAAAATATAAGTCATGTCAGTTACTATAAGGTTGGAAGTGGGGATGTTCACTGACGATTGCACAATGTTCAGCACCTTTTGCAACTCCTCAGGTACTAAAGCATTCCATGTTCAAATGCACCAAAAACTGAACAATATCAAGGCTTGGGCTGAAAGTGGGCAGTAGTACTCATACCACACAAATGCCAAGCAATGACCATCTCCAGTAAGAGACAATCTAAGCATTATCTCTTGACATTCAGCAGTGTTACCATCACTGAATCCCCCACTATCAACGTCCAGGGGGATTACTGTTGATGAAAAACTGAATAGGCCAGATGTATAAATAGAGTGGCTGCAAGAGCAAGTCAGAGGCTAGGAATCCTGCAACAAGTAACTCACATCCTGACTACCCAAAGCCTGTCAACCGTCTACAAGGCACAAATCAGGATTGTGATGGAATACTCCCCGCTTGCCTGGATGGGTGCAGCTCCAACAATATTCAAGAAAATTGACACCACCCAGGACAAAGCAGCCCGCTTGATTGTCATCACATCCACAAACATGCACTCCCTCCACATTCAGTAATAGCAGTGTGTACTTCCTACAAGATGCACTGCAGAAATTCACCAAAGATCCTTAGACAGCACCTTCCAAATCCACGCTTACTTCTATCTAGAAGGACAAGGGCAGCAGATACATAGGAACACCACCACCTCCAAGTTCCCTTCCGCACTTCTCACCATCCTGACATGGACACATATCGCTGCGTCAAAAATCCTGGAATTCCCTCCCTGGCATTGTGGGTCAACCTACACACATGGACTGCAATAGTTCATGAAGACAGCTCATCGCCACTTTCTCAGGACTATTAGGCACATGCAATAAATGTTGACCTAGTCAGCAACGCCCACATCCCACGAATTAATTTAAGAAAAGATAATGCAGTGTATTTCTGACATTAGCAAGTTTCTAGGTCAAGTTGATGGAGGTGCATTTATGATGAGGAATTTATGATTTATTTAAATAGAACAAAGGACATAATAATATCCAAAACCTAATGGAGTATTTCTCGGGTTTCCTCCTGTTCTTCAGGTATGGTGTCTGCCTGATAGGCGCAAAGAGAGAAGATAACAAAAGCATTTTGCTCAATCCTGGGCCCCGGTATATTATGGTGAGCTCAGACACCTGCTTCTACATTAACATTACAAAGGAAGAAAATTCAGCATTCATCTTCAAAGAGGAAGAGAAGCAAAAAAGGAAGGGTCTAAGTTCAGAAGGCATCTTTGGTGGTGCTTCCAGGCTACCTGTCCACAGCATCATTGCAAGCATGGGTGAGTGATTAGCCATCGAAATGGATTCCCCTGAAATCTCAGAACCTTATTTTCCACCTAAGAAAACTCAGTGAAAGGTCAAGGCTCACAATACAGATCACCGCTGGGGGTGAAAGAGAAGAAAAGAGAGATTAACGAGTTGAAACTGGCTGGTGTCAAGCGTGGGGTTCGAAGGTTAGCTTCTACCATAGATAATATCTGAACCGAAAGAATTCAAAAGTGCTGCAAATCCTTGTCTAAAAGCACTGCAGATGCTGGAAATCTGATTGACAGGTGCTGGAAATGCTCTATACCAAGCAGCATCATTACAGAGGGAAACAGAGATAGTGTTACATGTTGATGAACTTTTGTCAGAACTGGCAAAATTTAAAGAGGGAGGCCAAAGGTGCATGACAGAACAAGGTAAATGGAGAAAGACAGGAGTGGGTAAATGACCAAGGGCAATGATGATGCAAAGCACAATGCAATTGTTTTGAAACAAGGAAGGAACCAAAAGTTGGGTGAAGAATGACTTCCAAACCAAATTTTTCAGCCTAAGATTTCACATTTGTTTGCACTGAACTCCATTTCTATAAATTTGTTCACTCTGCAATTAAGACCAGGTCATTCTGTAATCACTTGTACTCCGCCCCACAATTTCCCTTGGTCACCACAGGGTAATATGTTCAAACTTCCAAATCAGCCTCTTGTTCCTACAGCCACGTGGAAACCCAAAGACGTCCCAACAAAATCCTTAAGCACATCACTACCCACATCCTGCCAATATTTTCAAAAATGAACCTCTGGCTTGTACCTAAACTGTTATCAGAGGTCGTGAGAAACCTTCATCAATATTCATACGGCAGGTGGGAGAATGGAGAAAGATTAAGTTGCATGACTGTCTGTGTGGAGTTTGCACATTCTCCCTGTGGCTGTGTGGGTTTCTGCCGGGTGCTCCGGTTTCCTCCCAAGGTCCAAAGATATGCGAGTTAAGTGGACTGGCCATGCTAAATTGCCCGTAGTATCCAGGGATGTATAGGTTAAGTGGATCATCTATAGAAAATGCAGGGTTACAGGAAAAGAGCAGGAGGTGGGATGCTCTTTGGACAGTCAGTGTGAACAAGCTGGGCTGAATGGCCTGCTTCCATACTGTAGGGATTCTATGATTCTATTCTAAGTGGAAGACAGAATGAATGCTGAAAAGATGAAAGGAACTATAAAGATGCGTTAAGATGATTTAAGTGAAAACTAATCATCCCAGAAAGCCTAATTAAAATCAAAGAGAATGACAATCACCACCTTATCAAATAGCTAGATCTGACAGTGGGATACTGGAAGCCACAAAAAAGATTCACTAGGTTGATACTGAACCCGAGAAATTACGTGCCAGGAAAGACTGAACAGGTTTGGAAGACTGCACAGTGACCTGATTGAAATCTTTAAGAGTGTGAAAGAGTTTAAATGGATAGACTTAGCGCAGATGTTTCTACTTGTGGGGTTAGGAAGATTCAAACACTGTAAATTCCAATAGGAAATTCAAGAGGAATTCCTGACAATAGTTAAAACAGGAATCACTCCCACAGGTAACAGCCAAGACACTAGGATGCACATAAGAGAAAGTAGGGAAACATGTGAGAAATTAAGTATTAGAGGGAAACGTTGATGAGGTTTGATGAAAAGGTGTGTGAGGAAACTTATCTGGAGAATAAACAATAAAATGACCTGCTAGACTGAAAAATAAACATCCTGTGCTGGAAATACTATTCAACACAATGCGGCTAATGCAAGAACTGATGACTGTAACAAATAGGAACTGGAGAGCTTTCTGATGAAGCATTGAGTCTGGGCTAGTATTGGTGTTGGCATATTTTCATCAATTCCAAAACAAACTCTAAAGATGGGAAGCATTAAGGGGAGATGGAAGAATTTTGGCTTCAGTTCCAAAGCTTGATTTTGCCATTGATGATGATTCATCCCCTAATAATTTAGCAAGTTTATCCTTCAGGTTACCAATGGCATACTGGGTTATGCGGATGGAGTGGCAAAAGGCATTGAAGTGTTCGGTCAGCCACGATTGTATTGAATGCAAAGGCAGGCTTGATGGACTGAAGGGCCTCGGTGAGCCAGATAAAGCAAAATTTTGCACAGTTGATTCCCAGTAATTTCCAAGTTAGCCAATCTCAATTATAATACATACAGAGACACGTCACTCAAAGTCTGGATTGATCAATATATATGATGGTAGATGTAGGATATAGATTAAAAAATAACGAGATTCTTGATAGAAGCCTTAATTATTGGCATGAGCACAACAAACGTAAACCCTCTTTGACCCTTCATTAATGTTGGTCTTCAAAATTTAGTTTAAAATGGCTACATATTCACTAAAATCAAGAAACAGCCAGAAGTCCACATTCGTTTCAGAGAATTAGAAACTGATACAGCAGAGAAAGAAACCATTCAGCCCATTGTAACTGTGTGACCCTTTTGGAAGATCTTTCTAATTAATTCTATCCCCTGCTCTTTCTCCACAACCTGTTGTTTTTTTTTAAAAAAACCTTCAGGTATTCATTCAGTTGTTTGTTTATTTTTTCCAGAAATTACTATTTATTCCATCACCTTAGCCAGGCAATGCATTTGAGATTCTAACAACTTCCAGCGGGGAAAATAAAATTCTCATGTTGCCTTTGGTTCTTTTGTCAGTACCTTATATCTTACTAATCCTTCTGTCATGAGAAACAGTTTCTTTTTATTTAATCTATCAAAGCCATTAATGATTTTGACAATCTCTATCAAATATCCTCTTGGCCTTTGAATCACTAAGGAGAATGAATACCACCAGCTTGTTCAGTCTTTCTGTATAACTTAAGTCCATATCTCTAGTAAATTTTCATAATTCTCTTCTACATCTTCTCCTCTATTTAAAATGTGGTGCCCAGAATTGAATGTAGTGTTCCAATTGAGGTCTCTTGGTGATTAATTATGATGACAAAGGACCGGAGACACTTCCGTCCATTAAGAGAGAGACAATTGTTTATTTATAGTTTGAGGGGCATCCGAGTATGGGACCAGGAGAGAAAGGCAGACCACCATGAACTGGCACAGCTAATGCAGGCATTGAACGATGAGCATCATTCTGTACCTATACCATACTCAAGGCATCTCACCATTTGAGCTAACCAACTCTCCTTACGGTGGCACAGTAGTTAGCACTGCTGCCTCACAGCACCAGGGACCTGGGATCGATTCCAGCCTTGGGCGACTGTCTGTGTGGAGTTTGCACATTCTCCCCGTGTCTGCGTGGGTTTCCTCCAGGTGCTCCGGTTTCCTCCCACAGTCCAAAGATGTGCAGGTTAGGTGGATTGGCCATGCTAAATTGCCCGTAGTGTTCAGGGAGGTGTAGATTAGGTGGGTTATAGGGGGATGGGTCTGGGTGGGATGCTCTGAGGTTTGGTGTGGACTTGTTGGGCCGAAGGGCCTGTTTCCACGCTGTAGGGATTCTATGATTCTATGAAAGGTGTGCTACCAGTACAAAGGTATGCTACCAGTATAAAGTATACTATTTTGGGTTATAGGAAAGATATTGAGCTTTAATTTGCAAACCACCCATTCAATAGTCCAAATTATCATTAGATTCAAATAATCTCATTTTCAAATTTCTTAATTTTCATTTAATAGCAGATTTAATGATATTGGACAGTCAATGACATAACTGTAATTTCTCAATGTTGAGAATTTGATATGTCAGTAATCCACCATGCTCAACTTAATTTAGAGCCATTTTTGGAATAATTTATATTTAATGCTAATAAATAAGCGGTTATACCACGCAACTTCTCAACCAATAATTGAACAACGCTATAAGCGTTACATTTTGTCAAAGTCTTTCACCTTTCACTGCATCAGGACCATTCACTGATTTGTTGACAAGTTCTCTGATTAGCAGAGGTGCTGTGAGCTTGGTGGTTAATTGCCACTCATCATTAACCAGTTCATTCTCGATGGCAATGCCTCTAACAATCAAGTTCCTTAACTTTGACATTTCTTATGAATCATCCTGATGAGGCCAAATGAAAAGCTTCGAAAACGTGTCCTTTTCAGCAATACTAAAGTTCTGTTGTACCAAATGACTAACCCTAACATCTTTAAATTGGATATATTAAATTCTTAGCAGGTTCTTTCAAATCAATGAATTCATAATGAAAATGCAGGTCATTAAAATAGGTGTTCACGTGAGTGAGAAAAGTAACCAATTTGAGAGTAAAACAAGTTCTTTTCATTGGATTAGAAGTGAGAATATTCTTACTGTAGTGACTTATTATGTTTTGTGTGTAAAATTGAAGGAAAATGTTTTTGTCAAATTAAGCATCAATTTATAGCATTTCAGTAAAAGAATCCTTTTTATAGTACACTTGGAGTAAATATTATTCACAAGCCCTTATTAATCAGGGAAAATTATTCCAAATTCCTGAGATGCAGAAAGAGTATGCATGGTAGAACAGAAAAAGACAAACAGAATGAGTTAGTGGGGTGTGAGAGAGAAATTTGAGTGCATGTATGAGCATGTTATGGAGGTATTGGTGTTGGACTGGGGCGGTGGGGGGGAAGTCAAAAGTCACACGACACCAGGTTATAGTCCAAGAAGTTTATTTGAAATCACAAGCTTTTGGAGCGCTGCTCCTTTGTCAAGAGTACGAGACTGAAGATTCAAGCTGTCCCACATAGACTGAAGTAAGGGAGAGTTTCTGATGAAGGAGACAGAGAGAGAGTGATAGGTGTTTCCCTGTTATAATGCAGTGCTGGATAAATATGTTTCTGGTATCTGGCTGTTTTGCACATGTATTTTAAAAGTAGAGTGACAAATCAGTAGTTTGGCCACAATTATTTTCTGATCCAGTGTTTTTATGCTGTATTTGTAATGCGAACATTAATTTGGAAATAGAAATTGATTTTTTTAAAAAAAACTTTTGTCGCTGTACACATACGCAGCAAGAGTGCTGAGCCTGATAAATACTGGGCAT